AAACGATAGTTTGACATCATTTGAGCTCACAGACACGAATGCATACAGCACGGAATAGTACCTAAAAGTTAAACTAATAACAACCCTTATTATCATTACAAGCTGTGTTGTTTCCATCGGGCGATAATGCTGTTAAAATAGGCAAGCTACGGCGATTTTAATTTTCTTACTGTGGTAAAATTATTCGCCAAAGAGATATTTAGGTATTGGATTTCGCTGTTTAACTTCTTACTTACACTAATTGCTTTGTTTACGTGTGTTTTATCATTTTCTAAACTAAGAAAAGTAAATAAATAAAAACAACCAGAATAGTTACATTTTTATGGAATGAAATGAATAGAATATAGAATAAATAGCAAAAAGAAAAATTATTTAATACGAAAATTTTAATAATAATTGCGCTGGAAGCTCACATTTCGGATTCAAAGCTACAATATTAATTCATAAAATCCATTTTAAAATTAGAAACTATTCTTTTTCTAATATATAATTCAAGAAAGGAGAACAAACTAAAAAAGACCTTTGTGGTCAAGAACTTTTGCACACTGAGCTGCAAAAATTAGAAAACAAAGGTAATAAGAATATTCTTAGTGCTTCCGCTAAAAAGTAGCTTTGATATTGTGGTTCCTGCGAAAAACATTTAACATAAGTAAAATAAAGTGCAATGAAAAGTGTAAACATTTAACAAACAATATTATCATTAAATATTTACAAATAAAATTCAGATCTAATTGTAAGTAATATGTTGATCAAGGTAAGGCAAACTTTAAACAATAGACTAAAAGTGTGACATAAGACTTAAGCAAAAATACAAAAACAAAAAAGCGGTAAATGGTAAATTAGCCCAATTCGAATCTCATTACCGACTTCTCATATTCGAATCTCATTACTGTACTTATACTTCTGGGGAAATTTATAATGATTTTCGAATCCAGCTAATTCCATATCGCGTTTCGTCGAAACAGACAATTGAAACTGTACACGAAACTCGTTTATAATATTAACTGAAAAGACTTAGTCAAAAACTTTAGTCTCAATTCTCTGTTCCTTTTCCCGACGCGTCCGCTTGAAAAAAAGGAATTAAGGTGTAAGAAAAACTATACATAATGACCTGGTTAGGCAAATGTAGAAAATAAAATAAATAGCGATGTACATCCAAACCTGAGCCTCAAATGCTGCAATTTCTGCTGTGCTTATCGTAGCACTATCCATTTGACAGTATCTCTTGGACTAGTTCCATCGAATTTGCACTTAGTGATATTTTCATTTTTATTTAAACTAATGTTTTGCTTTGAATTATTTTTGTTTATTTTATCTGCTACACATAATACATTTCCTCTAATATTTGTTTTAATGGTGTTTTATATTAAATTTTATAATTTTTTGTTTTGTTTTATTGATCATAATACTTTGTAGGATTCTACTGTACTTATACAACAGACGAACTTCCGCGACTTGGGTATTTAAATTAACAGAAAAGTTAAATTTCAAAGTTAATGACAAACTACACACAAAACTACACACAAAAAAAAAGCTGGCTAAGGATATTTAGCGCTGCGTATTTTAGATATCCGGTAGCAATACATAGCAAGCTAGAATATAACTTCGGCAGAGCTGGCAATACTAAACAACAGGAAGAAGCGGCTGCTTTCAGAAGCTCTAATCTATACATGTTAGCAGTAAACTTTCTTGTTTCTTTTATTTATTTCATACTGAGATGATGATTTCGTCTTCCCGCACTTTATTATGATGAAGTGAAAATTCAGTTCTTAACAATAAAAATCCATCTTTGATAACATTAACAAATTTTATTTAGACTTTCGAAACTCAAACATATAACACCGCCATCTTAATAAAAACTACTAGTACAAATTTTATATCATATCTTTAGAACATGATTTTATTCTGATGTTGCCATTCCGGAAAAGTACAACTCTGTTTCCTTTATTTATAATTCACAATCTTTACACAAAACCTAAGTTTAAATACACAAAACAACTATTTTACATTCTATTGAGGACTGCAGAAAGGAGAAGCTATAGTTAAGATTTAGATCATAATAATTGGATACTTAATATTAAATACCTTACAACTTTTTATTATATTTTATGATAGTATTTTCATTATATTGAAATTTCAGAAAAAACGTCATTCTACAAAGTATTGCAACAAGTTATTTTCTGTTATTACGACCCTATTTATTAGAGCAATAGCGCTATATATGAGTCATTTCTAAAAAGGTTGTTGTTGCTTTGTTTCAAATTGCTGAAAATTTCATTAAAGGAAAACCTACAACTCATTCAGCTATCTCATCACCGAGAACATTGCGTAGGGTGAACCCTAGAAGGCAACCAAATTCTGCCAGTAAGAAAGAGGAAGCTCCGTTCCAGTTTTGATAGAGAACACTCCAAGAAACGAATTCGAAACGATCCCACATCTCTTCCCCTACCAAGAACCCCTCGATCGGATTTTCAGCTCTACAGTATTTTGATTGCTCTGTACCTCGTACATAGTCACAAACACATGCAAACATGCAGACCCTCTCCGGGATCCTAACCCCAGCCCAAAGCTAGCCGGCTCCTTCACCAATATGCCAACAAGGCGGCATTCTAAAGATGTTCCCTGCTTCATACTTTTAAAACTTTCTTTGCTAAAAAGTTCCATTACAATATTATCACAGCTTAAGATTATGTATGGGTAAAGAACTGTTTGCCATATTGCTAGGTCATAAAATAAGCCTCAAATAATTAAGTAGAACGAATATTGTATTTTCCTTCCACTTGATTTTTTGAAGTGCAATTTTACGATTTCTTCTTAACTTTAGAGGTTTGTGTTTTGTCCTATATGGCAAAAAAGGAAGGCTGGATGAAATCTTCGGCAAAGAATCAAAGAAAGAAAACTCTAAATAAGAAGTTTGAGATGAATAAAGAAGACTGGTACCGTCCTTTTCATGTGTTAGGCTTCATCGCCTACTTCTCCGGATGTTTATATCAAAGTTGGGCATTTTTGTCTCTGTACTTCAAATATCCTACCACCATGGAAGTGAACGTGGTACAAGCACCTGTTCTTCCTTTTCCTGCAGTTACAGTTTGCAATGGAAATAGGTTTGTGTGCTCTTTTTTTTTTTTTTTTTTTTTTTTTTTTTCGGATGGCTATAACGTGCGACCATTTCACATTTCAGAAACAAATATTTTTCTGCAAATAATTCATTTTAATTATTTTCAATGCGTTTGCACGATATTTTTAGGTAATTTTTAAACATTTTATTAATAAACTGTTTAATTTTTATAAATTACTTTTGATTAATTTACATCTTTTAATAAAAAGTTAAAATTTTATTTTTAATTTATTTCCATTACAAAGTTTTTTATATTTCATGAACTGAACTTATTTTATTAGAAAAGTATTTTTGCTTGCAGAAAATACTTCCAATGGTTTATTTCTTGCGAAAACCTAATTGCTAATTTAATTAGCTTCAAGATCAAATATTAGTATTTTTGCTTGCAGAAAGTACTATGGCAAGTTGTTTATTTCCTGTAAAAACCTAATTGTTTATTTAATTAGCTTTAAGATCATGAAATCAGATTACTCATGTAGCATTTATTCATACGTATCATAATAGTCAAACGGCAATCAGGATTTGACTAAACATCATGTCATACTTTCATTCAAATCTTTAAATGAAATTTTTACGTAAGTATCGCATTTTATCTACGCATGTTCTAGTGATATAAAAGACTAGCATTTCGAACTAGCAAATTTGAATATTCTTGGCTACATTCCCGTGATGGCATAATTAATTTTTCATATTTCCTGGTTGTGAAAGGAGCTTCTTATAGTTTCATTTAAACTAAAATAAGTGTGACATACAATACGCATTTATTTTAGTTAAAGATACACACTTATTTTAGTTAATTTAGACACCACCTGAGGTTGGTTTACTGAGTTAGTTGCTTGTCACCGTCGCTGTTTAAATGAAACAGAATGTAAGGAATTACCGTATTTCTCAGTGCATACTTTCGTGGGGTAAGCAGTTGGTACATCCAACTAGCAAGCAGAAAATCCGTGGTTCGAATGCTGGGGAAAATGCAATTGATTTTTCATACTTTCTAAACCGAAATATTTAATGATCTCTACATCTTCAGTAGTTAAATCAAAAATTGAAATGTAATTCTTTCTTAAAATGATACAACATTTCCTGAATTGCACAAGAAGTGTAGCTCTCAGTTGCTAGTTTTATTAATTTAGAAATTTCATAATAATAAATAATTTAATAATTATATAAAAATTTATAAATTTACTAATTATTTAGAAATTTTAATGTTTTATTACTTTATTCATAACATTTGAAATTCATAATTGTTTAGGTGGTGCAGTTCGTAAGTAACTCTGCTATAATTCTTTCCTCGGTTATTTGTTTTCTGATATTCGTAAATTGCGCAGTTACTGTATTTCATTTAGAGTACCCATAAGAGAATTTGTAGAGGTTTGGTTTGGTTTATTAGATTACGGCAAAGCACTCGAGGGCTATCTGCCTTAGGGGAGGGATGCCTTCGTGGAGGACTTTTTAAGGGAAACTGGCTCGTATATACGTTACACATGGGGAAAACCACGAAAACGCCCATGCAGCCAGCCCGTTCGCGGGATTCGAACCTCGGACCGAACTACCAATGTTCAGCGACGTTACGCTCGGCCGTTGGTGGGCCCAGAATTTGTAAAGGAAAAACTTGTTTATATAGTAACCGAAATTTTATGTTGGGGATTATAATCACATAGAATTTTTGCACGTTTAAAATATTTTACATGAAACTTTTAATTTTGTTCACGAAGCGACGAAGCAACCTTGGAGTAGATTTTGAAAACCTTTTTTATTTTGCGAAAGACATATATATTCATACAATTATAAAAACATATCAAACTTTATCTTGTTCATTGATGCAAAATTCATGATTATTTAAAATTTCTCTCTATTAAATACATCTTTTTCAGGGTCCGGCAGAGCATTTGGTGCCAGATGGATAATTCAATCTGTCAGCGTAAACCTAATGAGAGTCAAGGTGTAGGTTTCTTCACCATTCAAGTTATACTCGCAATTTATATGAAATACTAAGCGCAAGAATTTAAAGCAAAAAAAAATATGAATGCATAAAATGCTATAAAACCTCATGATATGTAAGTAATGCATTATGGCCTGAAATTTAGAAAAGGCGTCATCAGTTTTCCCTCTTTTTTAAAACCTAAATTTTTAAATTCTATAGATTAAACATACATTTAAAAGATAAAAGAACAGAACACAGTTAAAGCCATCATTCATGCTTATGATTCCGACTTACTTTAATTTAAATTACATGAAATAAGGACTACGAAGAAAAAAATTTCAATTTTTTTTTTCATATTGCCCTATTGTCTCATTTAAATTTTTCAATCAAAGGATTATAAAGGATATTTGAGAATTTCTTTTTATAGATTCTATGTATTTAAATTGTATCGCTAAGATTAAATGTTTTAAACGTGTTAGTGATAAAATGTTTAAAATGAATGAGGCCTTTTTCGTCTTATTAATATTAAAAATTGCGTTTTGTGGATGCAACCTGATGCATAAACCTTAGATAAGATATCGTTACTAGCGCTTCATTCGGAATATCTAGAAACGCTCTACAGCTGCTTCATATCTTTCAGACATTTTCATTTTTATTTCATTTATGAGTTAGATAGTATTTTAACGAATTTTGTATTGTAAGATAGAGCCTATTTCTGACTTGCTAGTGCACGCTACGTTTAGTTCCTGTCAGCTCGGATAGTTGTAATTATGTGGCTTTGCGTTATTTCGCTGCCGTAACTTTGATTTTGATTATCCGGTTAGAACTATTGAGCCAGCTTAGAGTAAAATTTACACTGATACAGTCTTTGACTACTGATTTCCATTTTAATTTAAATTTAACTGTTGTGTTAATTGCATGACCGTGAGTTGTGGCTCATAGTTTTAGCCACAACTCGCGTTTATATTCTAGATTTCTGTTTAAATAAAAAATGTTATTTAAAACTTTATCATGACTTATAGCTACTTCAAACCTAGCGATTATTCGCTTCCTGTCTGATGGGGTTAATATTTCCAGGCCACGTATAACGTCATAAATCATAATAATGGTTTCAGTGAAGAGATAAATCTGCAAATTATGTGCTTTAACAGATGGTGAAAGAAAGGTCAACGATGAAGGAGATGCTTTCATGGAAAAATAAGAAACTGCGTATTTTAGTGGTGTTGCCATAGTATTGCATATTTTGTTTGCAATAAGACTTTCAGTTTGTTTCAAATAGAAATCAAATACAAATATTATTTTCCCTTTTGGCATTATTATTGTTGTTTATGTATGCTTTGATAAATATTTAATAAGTGACTGAACATCTAAAGCAAAGAGAAGAAAAAGTTAACTGAAAGAGTGAGTTTCATAATTTTAGCTACAGAGAGAAGGAGTAAGTGTGAAAAATAAATATATCTACAGGAAAAAAATGTAGAAAATAAAACCCAACATTATTGAAATAAAATTTCAATTAAACCATGCTCTAGGAAAATTATATTTTAAAAATAAAGTTTCAAACACATTATAAACTTATTCGTTACTGGTACATACCATACACATCAGTGGTGCGTACCACCAGGGGATAAAGGGTACGACCTACGGTGCAATATACTATATTCACTCTCATTTTATTCGGTCTACCAGTTGCTTTCAGACCATGCGTTCGGACTGCATGCAATTTGAGTTTGACACCATTGTATTAAAGTAATAAATATTCCATGTCGATCAAGAACTCAATTTCTACACCTTTATGAAACTTCAAAACCAATGTTTCTTTTGGAAACCTGAGGAATCTGACCTTTAAAAAACGAAACTCTTACGATTACAAAATTACACGAAAATTTAAACCTAATTAAAATAAGGATGATAATTGAAAGCATTAATTCGGACGAACAACATGTAGCAGAAAATAGTAAAGCATTCCGAAAGAATCAAGAAGAGAGCCTACTTTAAGCTGATTTTCAGGTGCTTGCTTCTAAGGAGGAAAGCAGTTTGTAACGGCACAGACTTTACTACGAAATTCCGTCTATCTTCAAAGATTCTCGTACTGAGCGCCGCCTGAGATAACCACTGACCTGACTTTGTTGTAAAAGTCTTACAGTGTTAATAGTCATCCTGGCAGAAGCTAATATTTCTTCGCTATAAATATATAAATATAAATATTACATGGGCATGCAAGGCCTGTGTATAAGCATAGATATGTTAATTACAAACATTGTCTTGTACAAGTTACATGTGATAGTTACATAAAATCATGACAGTTATGTGTACATTTAAAAGTTATTTGAATTCATATTTACAATACTTTTACTGAGATAATCAAAGTAAACTTGTAATTCATTTACACATTGACTGGATTTTCAATATCATTTAAACTGTTTACAATATTATTTTTATCAAGTACATACAAACTGGATAGTAATATGCTTGCGTTACAATAGTTTTGCTCTTACAGTCCTGTTACTATTCTACGGGGTGAGCTATTTTTGTTTATCGGTTTGTGGGCAGTTGAAGAGGAAGTGATTTGCATCATCTACGACACCACATTCACACAATTCTGATGCTCGTTTGCCAAGATTCTCGTACTGTAGCAAGATCATTTTAATTTTATATTTGAAATTAAATTACATACTTTTGTGAGACTTAATAACATTTGTTTTACACGCAGCTGTCTTAAATTTAACCTATATTCATATTAAAATTTCCGTTGAGTGCAAATAAATAGAATTTTTATTGTTTTCTTGAATATTAAGCATCTTAAGATACAATGATACGGCGAACAAATATTAATTTAGAAGTCTAACAACAAAAATCAGCGTTATATTTTCAAATTTTCAGAGATAAGCGAATGTTTTAAGTTGCTTGAAAGGATTTGTGAAGATTTGATCGCAGCTTTTATTTTTGACAGGTCCGAAGGTGAAGGATCTTTAAGGATCGGATTATATGGTCCTTCGTTTAAGAGTTTAGTGACACCATCGATGTAAGTATTCTTATCCATGACGACTATCTGGCCACCTTTGTCGGCCTTTGAAATGATAATATCCGGGTTAGAATGAATTTCGCGCATTGTAGCTCTTTCTCTCGCGGTTAGATTTGGTTTCAAAGCTTTATTATTGAATTTCACATTATGAGCGATAAGATGGCTAGTCATTTCTTTCTGTGAATCTGAAACTTTACTGAACTTGAAAGCTTTTTCGATAGGAGCCAAAATCTTTGGAATTGAGGGTTTAGAGGTTTGTGAGAAGTTAAAACTATATTTTAGAATTCTCTCTTGTTCTTCTGATAAACTAACATTAGAAATATTACCTATTGGCTTCATGTTTACAATGGGAAGATTTTTTGAACTACTTGAACTGGAAGACTGTAAAAGAAATTTTCCGAATTTAACTTCAAGGGTGTTTTTATGACGGTTAACTGCATTCTCCGTTCTAGACCAAGACTTTTGTTCAAGGGCAGTGAATTTTGCATATGAATTAGCGAGTTCCAGATGAAGCTTATAGAGCTCATGTTCAATTTTGGATAACTATTGACGTGTATCCCTTATGATGGACCGACCTCTTTAGCATTATTATAACAATTCATTTTAACATTGTGTTGCCAGTACTAATTATAATTATTTCATTGTGTTTATTTATTTATTAATTATGTTTATCTCCTATTTTCGTTGCACCAAATCAGATGTTCCATTTATCTTGTGAATCTCAAATTGTATTCCGACTATTTTGTAATCTGCTTATGCCCTACACCATTATTTTTAATAAATACTGGATGCGGGGCGTACTGTGAAATTGCACGATGTACCATAATAGGCAAACTCTAGACCTTTTGAAAAGCTTCAGGCTATGCATATTCTTATAAAACTTGCAATTACACACCCCCTCAAAGAGTTAGTATGGGAAGGCATTACCAGTTGACCTATGGTACATCGCTGGTGTCCCCCATACTTTTACCTTTACCTTTACCTTTACCTTTACCTTATGATGGACCGAAGTAAGGCTAGTTTGCAGTTTAACAGAATTCTTGAAACGCGACTGGAAGTTTTTTGATTAGATTTGATTTGAATGAAATTGGGAATCAATTTTTTACATTTACACTTAAATAAAAAGTCAAGATGTTTCAGGAATTTTTGTCGTTTCAGACGTAATTTAGTGAAACTATCAATAGATGAAGGCATGATAAACAATGCAGAAAACCAAACTAAATTAACTAACTAATAATAAAGCACGCTCAAAACAGCAGAAAAATTTTACACTGAAATGAATAGAAAACAAAATATTTGCAACTAAAATGCATGAAATCAGATAAGCAAAGCACAATATTCAAATATGTGAAACATAAACAGAACTTAAAAATTGCAAAAAAAGTACTTACAGAAAATCATGCAATCACAAAATGGCGGTTACACCACGTGAAAAAAAAGAAGCGAAAAATAAGCCGTTTGCGGCTCCGAAACACATACAATCGCAAGATGACAAAACCCACGTGGAAAAAAAGAAAGCACTAAGCCTGTTTGGGGCTTCTATAATTAAGATACAATAACACGCCGAACAAATATTAATTTAAAAGTCAAACAACAAAAATCATCGTTATATCTTCAAATTTTCACAGTGAAAATTTGAAATTATAACGCTCATTTTTGTTGTTTGACTTCTAAATTAATATTAAGTATCTTGTCTACTTTCATGCTTTAACACTGCGTCTGCAAAAAGTTTTGACAAAACTTAGTTCGTCAACCTGATAGAGAATCCAACTTCCAGGTATTACTGCATATATAAAACGAGAACTTGTTAATTACTATTAGTAAACTTGATTGAACTTTTTTAACATCATATTTAAAGCGTTTCGAATCTAACTCGAGCGATAACTCTGGAGTAACCTGGTTTTCGTATGAAGAGGTTTTATTATTTTTTTTTTTTATTTGTTAAATAGCAGATTTACTCTAGAATACGATTGTAAAGATTTAAGTTGTTTAGGCTTACGTAAATTATGAAAATTGTAATTTAAATTTGAGTTGCATATTATTTAAATTTAAATATTACTATGCACAGGATTATATCACGAGGTTACAGAACACATACAAGTTTCTAGGAAGAGCAATACGAATAGAAATGGGTCACAAAAAAGAAAATTTCATCCATTCTTGCCAGTTTGAAGATCGCCCCTGCACAGGCCTGTAAGTACAATCCATCATTTATGTTTAATTTTCTCTAACTGCCGTGTAAATTAGGGAGCTGTACATGTGTGTACTTTCCTTAAAGAGATAGTACTAAAGGCTTATGCTTGTTCTGACACTTGCAAATGACACTTCCAGCTACACTCGTCCTGCGTCAGGGTCCTCACATGTGCTGTTAGGCAGCAACGCCAATATTTTCGCATAACGCTCTCTGTCTCTAATTCATTGGCATTTTTGTGCATAATATATATCGGAAACCGAGTTTTCGAAATGTGAAGAATGAAATCTTAATTTTATTGAATGTCAGCTGCAATAAGATATATAAAATTAGCCCCTCTTTTATTCGGACAGTACTTCTCTTAATACAATATTATAATTTATGCTTTAACATGAATTGCAATATTGTATTAAGCGAAATGCCTCCATACCTAAGATTTTTTAAAAAATTTAAATCTTAGGTACCTCCAAACCTAAGGAATTTTTAAACAAAATAGAATTTAAATTATTAAAAAATATTTTTCTTGGTATAATTTCAAATGCATTATAATCTGTTCTCGTAATCCCTCATTATCAAATAATTAACAAACTTAAAATGCCGTACATGGAATGGAATTTACTATCTTTGGTTATTAAAGGTCCCCATTCGGATTATTTTAAAAGCAATATTAAAGTAATCTTTTGATCCTGAAAATTAATAAGAAAATTCTCAGGAAGGGTTTTCATTATAATTAGGATCCAAATTAATAAGAGCTGCAGATAAGTAAAATAAATCCGTATATACAGAGCGAATAACTATTGTAGACATTTAACAATGCATTGAGCTACATTTAGTTGATATTCTTAGCCGAACACGGCCTATATTCTGGACATGGGCTTAACAAGGGACTAAGATGAAACCTGAAGGATATTATCCAATGTTTAATAATGGCATTTCCGAGCTTCGAAATGGTCTTTCCACTTCATTCCATAAATATTGAATAATATTGAAGTCAGGGAACTGAGGTGGTTGATTATGTGCTTCATAATAATTTGTGTGTGAGCGTCATAATAATTGTGCACAGTGACAAAGCGCTCAGTTTTATTGAAAGTAACCACCTTCATTAAGAAACACCGACGAAGAATCAATTTTATTTCGTGACATATTCTCATGCTGTCATCTGCATCACGGAATAGAAAATTAGGTTCATTGTATGAGATCACTTTTCTTTCTCAGTTGTTAGGAGTCCATTTTCTGGTGCTCCTAATTTCCTGCTCATCAGTGATTGCATGGGAATCCTTGATGATTTCTTGTTGTTAAAACATTTTCGTTGTTATGCCCATTGTATTGTGCGTTCGGATATCCTTTTTAATGTACTTGAATTGAACTGAGCTGAAATTGAACTGAACTGAGCTGAATAGTTTGTTGTCACCCTTCTGGCCCTGCAAACGGTTAGAGCCATTTGCCTTTCGCTTCTTTCTTTCGCCACATTTTACGTCCAGCATTGTCTTAATTGGCTAATGTAGTTTTGCTGTACTGCCGCTGTCTAAACTCCTAAGACACTGCTGTACAAGAAAGACTTATGAAATTAGTCATTTTAGACTTGCTGAAACCATGGGTTCTTGCACCACACGATCATATATCGTAGAGAGTCACCCAAATCTTTCTTTCATCTTACTCGTTTTTACTCTAATCACAGTGCTAACTATTTCTTCTTTCTTCTCAAGATATACGTGCCTTTTATAAGCAATTATGGCTGACTATATGTCATTGGCAGATTAAATGATAAAAAAAATGGGTGATTTTAAATATTTTTATCACAATCTATATATAGTACCTCACATGTAATATATCACAATCCGGACTCTTACAGAAGTGTTTAGTGCAGCTTATTGCATTTAAGCATGAATTTTGCTCCCATTCGTCACCTCTACTCCAATATGCTTTTAAAACTATATTGTTTATACTTTCTTGACCCTTCCTATAATTATTCTGCTTTATTTCTCGAGCCAAACTCATCTGTTAGTCGTGGGAAAGCAAATGGAAAAACAAGATTTTTAAAATTTCCAATCTTCTTTATGAAACTTTCCCAGTGATCTGGAAAAGACTGCCTCATCCTCACACACGCAATAAAAACTTTTGAGATCAAAAAGCACGATGAATCACATTTAACTCCTTTGTTTGAGTCTACCTGTTACAAAATAGAATATTTTTCAAAGTCCTTTCACAGTACTTTTTGATGCACTTTTGATTGCTTTCATCACGTCGAAAACAAAACATTTTATTTTAGTCCTACAGAGTTTTGACGTAAGGCAGTGACAAAAATTAAAAAACTTAAAAAAATACTAAATATGAGATTTCTTGAAGAACATAATTATCTTTTTTCTTAGCATAGGACAGTATTTCAACTACGAGTATACCAACTGTTTCACTATAAACGCTCGCTGGGTTGATGAAAATGCCATGCCTCTGAATGCCAGTATGTTCCGACCAAGAAGTGGAAGATCCTCAGGTAACAGATGCATATAAGTGTACACGTTTCAACTTATCAGTATTATATTTCTCTCTCAACGAATAAAAATATGTATGCATATATTCTATATATACATATACTCTTTTTTTCTCCTAATTGTTTAAATTTATTTTTCCACATTGATATTTTCAATCGCACAGATGCAAATTGTGATTTTGAACAATTCGTATACTAAGTTTTATGTTACTTAATGAATGATTAAAGTCCATTCCCACATTTTAATTCTCTCTGAGTACAATTATCTCTATATTCAAGTAACGTCAAGTGCAGAAAATAATGTAATACAGGCTAAATGCAAGGTTCCAAAGTACGTAATTGAGAGACTGAGGCTCATTTGCAAATAAATAGATTGCCAGAGGTGGAGTTATTAAAGGCCAACTGCTTTTGTTTAATTTCAAACTACTGCTTGCAGTCAGTCAATTTCTGAATAAAGCAAGCACTTAAACTAACGCACAGATTTATAAATGAAAACAACTTTATTTGCTAATAGTCTTTGTTGCATTGCAAAACCTAAAATAAACAAACACAAAATATGCAGCTTACAGTACAATTTCAACTTCACCATACCAACATTAAAACAAAAAAGACGGAAACTGAGCTATCTATTAACCCAAATTTAATTCTAAGTAAAAACTCAAAAACTAAATTACGCTTAGAGAACTTCAAATCCTATCAACCACTTTTACTATAGAGACCTCTTGAAATAATCTTCTTACATGTAATAAGTAACTCGCGCATAAACCACTTGACGGCAGAAACCGATCGCTGTGAAACAAACCATTTTAAATCAATAAATTATATTCGTACTTCCCATGCACCCTTCTACTAAGCATCTAATTTATAATATCTCGTATTTTCCAAATAGAATGGTACGTATAAATGAACCCTTTGACAGGAAAAATGAAACTGTAAAAATTATAATTTAGTTAAAAATTAGAATAAGCCTTCCAGAATTATAAGTAAACACATTATGAAGTATATACTAACATTGCATTTACTTTTAGAAATATTTGTGAATGAAATTCAAATTGAAAGGAGTTCGTAAACTCTTATCTAATTAAAGTAAAACAAGTGTCGCCAGGCAGTTTAACTAAATGAATTGTACAGAATAACTAAACGCATTTCAGAAATAGGAAGAGAATAATTCACAATAACATTCTTGTCGAAAGAAGATCATATTATGCCTCAAAAACTCTTTTTAATATCTACCTGTGAAATCTATTATTCAGCAACGTCACCTCTCATTAGCATTTCTCATGCAGATAGAGTAATTATTTGCCAATGATGTCCATTTTTTATCAACGCAACTATGGGTAAATCTTGCAAGCCAATGCGAAAAAATCAACACAGTTTTTCTACGAATTGTGTACGCTTTAAAAACTTAAAATCTGATAGGTAAGTGAAGAACGATGCCTATCCATAAAACTAATCAGAAGTACTCAGGAATCATACTTTTCCAATATAGGGTAAAAACATCAAAATAAGCCTTTAGATAAATTTCAGTACCCTGTTCTTACATACAAAACCGCCTCCAGTCATTTTGCTTCTTCAAGCACCTTCTTTTTATACTCATTCCTCCTTAAAATCAAATAAATGTACAGTTCTATAACTCGATCGGTTCTATAACTCGATTCAAGACAGTGTTTACGTTCTCATATGTTACGAAAGCCAAAATCTCATATTGAGGCAATAAGGCTGCCTACATTAATATCATAAATAGTTATAAAAGTCACCAGCGAACCCTTAATTATCTACATTAACGGCTAAAATAAATGGCAGCATAGAGATTTCATCCGACATTTATAACACAGATCTGACAAAATCCTATGGAAAAGTTACTAATATCGAGAAACCACCGGCTTCTAAACTGTATTAACTTATACTAAAATGTCCTGTAATAAAACAACCATGCCCTCACTTAATCTTCAAATCCAATTTCATTTCAGTCCTATATGCTCAATCTCATCATAATCATCCATTTACAACTCGCTAAGTTCTGCTTCAAGTCACAGATCAGCATTACTAAGCAAATGGGCTGAATAAGGGGTTCCGCAACACCCGCAGCTGATCCCCGCGTTAACTTTTCTTAAATCTTTCTTAATTACCCTTAAATCTGCACGGTACGCAACACTAGTTACAGTGCGATTTGTGAGAGAAGTGAAAGAAGAAACGACATTGGCAAAGGACCACTATACAACAAGCCTATGGTACTTATCAACGAAAATAGATTACATTTCCCATTGAAATAGTACTTTAACTTTTTTTAAATCAAAAAAATCCCCAATCAGCAGGTCCATGATAATTTGGCTGTTGCCAATTTCCTCTTGGTCAGACGTCTAATGACAACTGCTGACCATTCTTCTGCTCTGAATTCTGTTAATGCTTATGGCGCTTTCCTCTGGAAGAGCCAGACAGCGTTTGAAATTACTCTGATTTTCGCGTTCTCCAATTAATTTTCAGTAGCTTTCCCTCTATTCAGTAGTTTTCCCTCGACAATATTTACATTCCATAGAATAAATTATAAATACCACTAAAAGAAACCACGAAATTAAATTCACAATGCGCTTTCTAGTATATCCAGTGTTCTTACGTTAGCTTAACCCAAATTTAGAATTTAGAAATCTTTCCCATAAACAGACTTTACAAGCGTATTAATGGGTGTGGTGTATCTGCAAGCAAATGTTTCTGTAATTGGAATATTTTCGCGACGTATGAATGGAATTCCATATGAGATCAAAACCATAGCGTTACTTAAACACTTCATCGTCCGTAACGCGTCTAGCGTGTTCAAGTGAAACTTCTGCAGGGCTGCCGTAACGCCCCTCAAGCGGTCTTCTACATTTTAAAGTTTTTAAACGTTTAAAACGCTTTCTAAATGTTTACTTGTTTCAGTTTTATTTTTGTTTGTTCTAATACCTCCTAGAGGGCTGCACTAATCCGGCATTCTATTTCTAATTGAATTTCCTCCGGGTTTTACGAATATTCGCAGGACAGTGAGAGACAGCTTCAAAGTCTACTCAGCAGAAAAAGAGAAAAAATGAGGTTGTGAATTGAAAAGACAATAAGGATATACGTTTGATGAATACAGTCTACAATAACTCTATCATTGATGTTGAAACACGGAAAAGAACTGTAAAAAAACAATAATTGTAAAATATTACAATTATTGTTGATGGATCAGATATTATCAAATTATCCTGCTGTTAGAAATAAGCAAAGATATTATTACTTTTCCATTATACTTTATTTCCTTATAATTTTACTTACAATTCATTTACATTCATCCACTATGAAAGTTATGTATATACAGAGAAAACAACATTACAAGCTGCGAAAAACAGAGGGCCGCTGAGGAGAAATTTTCGCGGACAAGAGAGGACGGCGAAAGGGTTAAATGAACATATATTAATCGATCGTGAATTTTTTACCCACTTAGTTTCTGTTTGCGTAATGTTCTTCTTCAATAATGTCCGTGTATTAGTCAAAGCGTAAAAAGAAAGTATGAGATAAATTTGTTAAAGAAAGCATCACGACAGGCAGGTAAATTTTAAAGAAACCGCAAGATGGGATCATGATTCTGAGTAAATAATACGATACCGAAACTGAAGTGAACAACTTTTAGTGATAAAAATTCCACAAATCAAATCTGGCAAATTTTTCAGTTTTAAAGAAGAAGGAGCAGATATTTGCATTATAGAGTTTACAAATATAATACAAACTATCAGGGATAAGTGATAAAAACATGGAGAAAACAGATTAAATAGTGCAAGCAACTTTCGATATTTTCTTATGTCACAAAAATAAGTACTTCGGTTAGTTCATAATTCTAGTAAGTTAAATTAAGATTGGAAAAACTTAATTATTCTAAAGCGCAATCTACTCAAAACATCTTGGAACTTACTAGAGACTGTGCACAATAATTTAAGAATTAGTTAAGAAATATCTCAACATATTTATTTCAGGCCAACAGCGCCCATCTCATTCATTTTATAACTCAGAGTGCACAATTATATCATCTGAAGAATGACCACATGTTCTATTCAAATACTATAATAAATCTAAAACGATGTATAAAATAAATTAAACTAATAAAAAAGAAACAGTTTTTCACAGACGATTCAGCGCCGCTTACCTAATTCGCATGCGCTACATCAGTTCTCACTTCGCGGCAAGGCAAAAATACATAAAAATTCAAAATATTTTCATTAAAAATTGAAAGATATAGGAAAACATAAAACACCAAGTACAGTTTAAACAATTTTAAAAAAAAATTTTTTTTACAAATAAAATTACAGTTTCTACGCGAAAACAAGCTAATAACTTAAATGATAATTCCAGAATGAATTAAGCATAATTTAATTCGCAATAATAAAAGAAGACGTTACTTTGTTGTTGCGAAGCTTAGTTTCTCTAGATTGGCAACAAATCCACTATTCTTCTAAGTTTCAAATGTAAACAAACATGGCTGCAGTGGTATACAAAAATTAGGTTTAGCCGCACTTAAACAACTTTTAAATTGTTGATAATCCTACAACTATAACATGCCGGTTAACTAAAAACATAAAAACCTTAACCGAAAGGTAAGAACAACATAATTCAATCATTTTTAAAGAAAGCAGTTGCACAATTTACACGCATATAAGAATAAAGAAATTGAGCTCGCTGAGCCGAGTAAAGGAGTGGACATATATATACATATATTTATATAATTTTGGTGCTGCCGATTGTGCAACCAAAATGGGAGGTGCACATCTACATGTTATAGCAGTCCTCTATGCAAAATTTCAACTTTCTGAGGCTCCTGGTTTTGAGTTATTCGAGATACATACACATATACGTACAGACGTACAGACGCCACGAAAAAAATCCCTTCATAATCCACTTTAAATCAGTTTTAATATTTGGGGGGAAGAGTTCTTTATTCTGTCCTTACATACAGCTGTCAAGCAAAAACATCAAACATCGTTAAATTGTATTCGATGGCGGTCAAAATGGATATTTTCGTTGAAATATGATACCCGAAATTTTTCTCAATTACAATACTTTCTTTTCATTCGTGCAAGGAAGTAAAAAAGGTCACATTATGAAAGAAATGCTACAGTCAAAAATTTGTTTAATTTCTGTCTGCATGATGAACAAACCACTGTTATTTCAGCATTCCGTTAAGTATTGTTACGTTTTTCTCTTCCTGACACCGGTTGTTACGTTATTTTCTTCCTTCGGTACGTTCGTTACGGGTTCGTATGGATTTGGAGTGAATAACGACGACACTTGATGAAATATCGAAACATCAATACCAGATAGCTCCAAACTCACTTTTACAGTCGTCGAATGGTTATAAACACGCTGACACGATCAGCGACACAGCCTTCACACTATCAAGCAATAACGGTGGAGACAGCTTCACTGCAAAGCAGTACAGCTCCCGACTCTACTTGGTCGTTCTCGGAACTCCACGTACTCTCGAGACTCTCTACGCTACAACTCGCGATGCACTCGACGACACACGAGAACAGCTCCCGACTCTTCGGTTCAGTCGTTTCCGGAGCTCAACACGTTCTCACGACGATGCACTAACCGCGATACACTGACAGACTCCTTCGGTGCACTTGACGACCCACTCGGCACTCACTGCCCGGCTGTCAACTTGATCGACTCCGCACGGACTGACTCGCTAGACGAGACAAACACTAACTGACTGTGGACCAGCAGGGTTTATATAGCTTTCGGCTTGTGTTCGAGAACATTCTAAGCTAAACCTGTAAGAATTCGTTCCAAAAGGTTCTCCATCCGTCCATGGCATATCTACAATTTTGTCGCCAAATGGGCGGTTTCTCGCCAAATGTAGCAACCCTGCCTCCCCTTGCCGTTTTATGGCAACCCTAAAACTGCTTTGCGGGGAAGCTATCTTACCGCGCCTGGACATTTCATAATAATATACTACACACAGGTTAATGACAATTACACATTAATTTTAAACGTAATTTTGCGTATAAAAGAGTATTAAAATCATTGACACTTCCCTTCCAAAACAAAACTATGACTTGTACAACATGAGCTCAGACACGCGGCTGTGAGAGCTCAAGACGCTGTGAGAATAGTTTTCATTGTTCAGAGTGCAATCTAACCACTCCGTTTTCACCTCTCAAATTTTACCCCATCTTGTTTTGCCAGGAGCTACATGTTTATTTATGAAACAAGTTATTATCTGTATTTAAATTATAACGTTTTAAAATTTTATTATTCAAATAATTAAGAAACTTTTTTTAACAGAACTTTCAATTATGCTCAACCTGGAAACACACGAATACAGCGTAATGAATCCAGTAAAACGGGCCAGGATGACAATTCATTCGGCAGATACTATCCCCAATCCACAATATGATGGTGTCAGCCTCCAGCCTGGCTTGACTTACAACTACGGCGTTCGAGAGGTTAGAAAAAAGTATTTATTGTGAATTTTATTTTCTTTACTTTTAATTCTAAAATATTCCCGTAGCATTCAATACAATATAAAATTAATGAAATGTATTAAACTTTAAAGAAACTTCATATCTGCAGTATTTGCCACTTCTTGAAGTTACCGTTCCTTGACTAATATGATTTTGAATTGACTTTTCAAATTTCAGTAGCATACATATGTAGCGAACTGAATGTTTCTCCGTTTAGTCAAATGCGACAAAACATACGAGATCTAAGGAAAAATATATCTTTATGGTGAGCTTAAAAACCGAATGGTATTTATATTTTGCATGTCAGGAAAACCACGACGAAAATCAACCCCTTCTCTGGTATTCGATCCTAATTCGCACGACTGCTATTCGGTGAGTCGGCCATTGGTTGCATAGTAACAGAGTTAAGAGGAAATTTTTATAGTAATTTACAAGTTAACCAACATCTTTCGAAGAGCATTTTTCAAACTGTTTGTTATGTTTCTAAATTTCTAAGATTTTTTATTGTATTGCACTCACACTTAAACATAACCACTAAGAAAGCGATAAAAAAAATCAGCATTTTGTGAAATTTATGCAAAAACTAAAACTTTAAACTGAATTAAATAAAAACAGTAACCAGTTTTGACAAGAAAATAATATGATAAACCCTATTTCTGACTTTATGTTATCCATACTAACCATAAGCATCAGTGAAGTAAAATAATTGGAAAATATTGATGCATTAGTAATATTTGTCCAAATACGTTATTCAACACTCAAAAATTTTAAAAAATACATGCATTATTGAAGGGAAAATGTTATAATTTAAATTCTCTTTGGTTAATTTTTTAACTCCTATTCTACATCATGCATAATAATATACAAACTCTGAGTGCGAAATTTCAAGTGATTCTATAAGGAATGTTTAGAACTATCATAGTTGCTGTGAACATAAATCATAAAAAAGTTAATAAAAAAATCCCGTTTAAAATTTTCAGATTAACGTTACATGACATAGTGTATGCCCAACTATTTAGGTTGTCCAACAAAAAGGAGAAAATACATATTAAAAATAATTTGTCCGATTCTCCTGACATATTGAAATGCTTTAAATCATTTAATTAAAAATATAACATAAAAGAGAATGAAAATTCTATCTTTAATTTGCTCTTTAAACTTCCGGTGGGGTATACAGTAACTTCCAGTTTGTAATCTCTCAGGAAAACTGGAATGTCTCCACTTCTAATTATCATACCAAGAGAAGAAAAGATGCGTTTGCTAGCTAAAAATGTGTCTTTTGAAAATGCTAAACAAAACAATTTGAGATTTTTACCAAAATTAGCCTTTTGAACGAGGTCAGTTACATCATAAGGTATTTTCTCCCTCTTTACAGCATGCCCTCGTGGTGTAACGGTAGCACACTTGGTGCGTATTCGAGAGGTTCGGATTCAATTCCGCATTGTACATTTTTCACGTCTCCAGCATAAAAAAAGTAATTACTGTACAGTAGCGCCCGAACTAGAAAGTGGTGGCTTATAATTCGTCCCCGCTAAGATTTGGCGATTGGGAACTTTAATCCCTAATCCCCTTTGAAAGGGGTATATAAGGTATTTTCTCCTTCTTTTACTCACGGGTGCAGAACTCAATCTAACACGACACAGGACTGCTAATGTCTCACAGCTTTCACGTGAGCTGTATGATGCCACTTGAGCCCTAGTTTCGCGGTCTACAGTTGCCCGAAGCCTTCATTACCTATAGTTTAGGGCTATATGCCAGAAGTACCCGCAGTGACTATCCCGCTCACTGCTGCACACAAAACAGCGCATTTAGCATGATGCAGACAACATGCACCTTCAACCAGACTTCAGTGGTGCACCGTGCTTTTTGTAGATGTGTCGAGATTCAGCCTGGACTTTGGGCGTACCTCTATCTGGAGAGAGCCTGGAACACACCATCCCTCCCTCATCAGGGAAATGGATCATTACAGTGATGGCGGGACATTCTTTGGGCTGGCATTATGCTGGACAGCCGTACACCTGTGCCTGTGTTTGAAAGACTCCCTGACATCTATAAGGAAGTGATCTTAGCTGGACTTTTTAGGGAGCAGTTTGTCCTAGGTTCCTGTTAAACTTATGCGTAAAGGTAAAGTTATACGTAAAGCTGTATGAAACTAGTAATATTAACAGTTATGAATAAAAGAAACAAAAGTAACCAAAAATGTTTGTCCGGATTATATTAATTAAATTATTTGATTAACATTTTAAATAAAATATTAGCTGCGTTAGCTCTGGATTATAGTTTTGAAAGTTGACTGCAATAAAATTATTCTGTTTCATGCTTTTTTATGTAATCTTGTAATGAGGAAAACTCTTGTTCCAACACAGATCAAAATTTCAACGAAGAACCAACTCTACATATCTCGCTGCTTCTGAAAGCGCTTTTACTTCTTCACTTCTCCTTCCTTCTTGCTGACACGCATCGCCCATGCGTCATTTCTAGATTAATTCATATCCTAAATGACTTTTACATAACTTTGTTGACCTAAATGTAACTAAAACAACCAATAATCGTTTCAGAACATTATTAATTATCCAGTCAAATGCATTTACGCAACAAATGCCTTGATTAGTCCATTTCTGAATTAAGATTTCACCCTTAAACAAGGCACTTTGCTTTTCCCCTCTTCGGCCTAATTCGACTGCTGCTCGCTGCTTCTCTTCTTCCGCAAAGCTATCAAATATTTAATTGTTTCGAAACATGAACGAGTAGACAGCCAAGTTGTTTGTGGCCGCAAATGGCAACTGAAATATAAATCAATATGTAATTTGTCTCAGCTGCCAAATTTGCTGTTCATTATGAATCAACATCTACGCAATCAATGTTTCTGCATCATTAGATCATTACACACACACACACATATATATAGAGAGAGAGAAGGGGAGAGGGAGAGAAAGAGAGAGGACACAAGTCCAAAATCCTTATGCCCAGTGATAAGAGAATTCTCGGCTCACTGAACCATGCCATTTAACTCAGCTTCCTTGAAACACCCTGAGATTTTCCTGTAGAAACCAGTCTCGCAAGTCTAGTCAGTTTGGGCATACAAATTAACTTGCAATAAAACAGCCCTCAGAACCTAGGCAAACAAGGACCAACTGCAGTTCAACACTGCTAAAATTTTCCGAAGGAGCATATTGTAACGGGAGGAATCATTTAATTGGATCCTGCTGTCTTAGCATTCTTTTGTTAACTATCAATTGTACTAATTCGAAATCCCAATGGACTATGTTTTCTAATGAAAACCTAAAGGATATATCTTCTAAAACTAACTATGGTCTAAAACCTCCTACTGTAATCGATTACACATATGAACAATGGATTAAATCTATGGACAAAATAATGTATATCTATAATCCACATAACATTTGTAAACACAAATTATGCATTAAACACCAATGTGCAAATGATGTACAAATTATTATGTGTGTATCTATGTGGCGCTGTTATAGTCTACACAATTGAAAATTTGCACAAGCTTGAAAATTCAAATGCTTCGTTTGGTAAACGACAGGAATTCAATTATATAGATAAGAGAAAATATTGAAGGGACAGTACGAATGTTAACTTATAAGGTATTTTTTCAGTTTTCTTAGCATGCCTTCGTGGCGTAGTGGTCAGCACACTCAGCGAGTATTCGAGAGGTCCAAGGTTCGAGTCCCGGCGAGGGCATCGCTCATTTTTCATCTCTCCTACTTCAAAAAAGCCTAATGTCTCTAGAAACTTTTAACATGCGTTTGAATTTTCCTTAGCGCGTGTTTCTTCGGAAGCGGCTTTTCTTCGTCAAACTAACGTAATAACCACCTTCCGTGAGGTTAGGTGCCATAAAAACCTACGTTGTGTCAATTAATGCATTGAAAGACATGATTCAGAAATTTGAAAAAACATTTCTTCAGCAGTCCGGTTTGGTAGAGAGATGAAACCGGTGTCAAATTGATACTGATATCGTGATTTCAATCTTTGATGGCAGCAATGGAACTTATGCTAGTAGTAGCAGTGCTCGAGAAATAGTCAGCAATTGGATCTGAAGCTTTCAACAAAATGATATATCTTTCAGAAAATTCTTCAATTCTCCCCATACAAGATAAGCAGCGTGCAGGAATTCAAACACAACGATTGTGATAACCGGTTGGCATTTACTGTAGCATTTCTTACCATGATGGTAACTGACGATGCTTGGCCGTGGAGAAAAGGGTGATGAGGCCCATTTTCATCTAAATGGGACTGTTAACAGTCACAGTTCTCGAATTTGGACACGACAGGTGACGCAGGAGCGGGAGCACCTGGCATCTACTAGAAGTAAACAGGTGTATGCCCGTCGTCCTCCACTATATAGTGCTTGTAGAAGAATTTAAGAATCTAGGTAAAATACATGGCCATGCAAAAGCTAGGTAGCAGCACACTAGCTACAGTTCGGAGACAGGGGATGCAAGAAACATATTGCAATGCCAGAATATAAAATATAAAAGTAATACGATAAATAAGTAGTGTAATATAAGAGTATATAAATAGTAGTAAATATTAAATGTGTAGTAAAATAAATAAGCAGTACAACGAAAAAGCAAGATAATATAAAACTGCATTTAGTAGACAGGTGATGGAAGGCGAGGAAACTTGGCCTCAGAGGTAAGCAGGTATACGTTTTACGTCCTCCTCTGGCTAGAAGCAACAATACCCTGGAGCTCCATGAGAGCACCCTTCGGGAGTTTAGACGAATACAAATACAATGAGTTTGCTTGAGTTAATGAGTTTGCGGTTAGCCGTTCATTGTAATTCGCTTGATCACACTATATTGCACTAAGTATTCAGATTGCGCTGCAATGCAGAATATATGCTGTTTTGTTAGCTAAAATGGGGGCAGCTCAGCGATTGAAAGTCTTATATGACCTGGCAGATGTCCTGTCCAGGGCTGCAATCGTGATGGTATCTGATCCACAATATATATTATTTTTCACAATCATACGATTTTCTACATTAAAAGCATCTGTGAGTGTCCACATTACTGAAACACTGACGTTGGTGAGAAGGCATTGATAGATTTAGTTGTCTGGGAAACTCTCTGCTCCGCAAATGCATGTTGCAGTTTCCGAAATGCTAAGCCAATGAAACAAACAGGAAACGGTATGTGGCTCGTGATAACGTTGGTGATTTGTTGGATGGACACGTGTCTTTGAAGGTTGACTTTAGGGAAGAAATCGTATGTCTGTCTTCCGGTATCACTGAAGTGTCATTCCTGTTGCCATTTCAGAGTGACTTTTTGAAGCAGTTCTTTTTTTTTTTTTTCAAATAAGAGGGAGTTTTCGTAATTTTAATTTCCTATGCTTTTATGTCGCTACTTGAATCTTGAGCAAGTTTGTTTGCTGTTTCATTGCGTATTAGACCTAAGTGTGCTCTAACCCATACCAGTTGTATATGTTTATGGGTATTGCTTTGCAGAAGATGCTGTATGTTGACAATGAATGGAGAGGAGCGGTTATGATTTAAGACTGCTAGAAGAGTAAATATGCTGCTCAATTTTAGTTCTTAAGCAATGCAAGTGAAGGATTCATGTCAGTCCTTTATTCTTTTATCCCAGGAATTTTGATACCGAGACGATCTTGATGTTCTTCCCCTCAAGTTTGATACACAGTTTTCGTGTGGAGATAGTACGCGGCTTAGGGATTATCCGGGATTTTGACTTTTTTTCATTGATCTGAAGATTGAAGTTATGACATAGGGCTGTAAATTGACTACAGTTGACAGTTGAGAGCAGAATCTGGACACCCGTGCGGCTTACTTGCAAATTGACTACAGATGTTGGTGCTCCTTTATCCCAGTCCTCTGACGAGAAATGTCACGTCGTCTGCATACGAGATAAGGTGTACATAGCCTGGCCAGTTGGAAGTTAAAATAGAATTAAAAGTGATGTTCGTGAGTATAGTGCCTGCACGTGAGCACTCTTAGAGCACTCGGTCTTAGAGGTAACTGGCTATTGTGTGATAAAGATTTGTTGGACATTCAGCTGTTCTGAGAGCTCGCAGGCCACCAGAGTGTGTCGAAGGCGTTTTTGAGGTCAACTGAGGTCGTTTTTGAGGTGAATTTATTGCATTGACAATATTTTTTTCTGCATTTTTTTGCACTGAAACATTTTTGCATTTTAACTGCGCAATCAATTTGTTAGCATTGATTGCGCAGTTAAAATGCAGGGAAAAAATATGAAATAACATTTGCATGTCTATTTAAAAAAGGTCAGTGTAATAGAGGTTAAATCTGTTCTCCAGTATACTATAATTGCAACTTTATACGAATGTTCTTCATACATTTTCACAAATGTTACGGAATGGATAATTTGTTTTTATATAAAATGTTTAGTTTATAAAAATCTTATTTTAGTCGTTTTTTAAATTTAAGCTGTGTTTAAGCGGTTTAAGCGGTGTTTTTAAATTTAAGCGGTGTTGCAGTGAAATTTCTTCTTTGTTACTGATTTGTTTAGTTCTCAGCTGCGTAGACTAGAACAGAGCCATTTTTTTAATATTGACAACTTTCAGAAATATTTTTTTTCTCATGGAATCTTCTTTTATATATATTTATCGTCATTAGTTCCTCTACTAGTGTCAGTTTAAAAACAGACGCACGACGTCGGCTAATAGGCACTGAAACAATCTAAGAAATATAATCGCATTTAGAAAAGAAGCATTTGAAAGGAAAAGGTATTAAACATGATCTTGGAAATGAAAAGAAAATACAGGTCTAACAATAATAGCTGTTGTTGTTGATCTTAAAAATTATGAACAAAATATTGAAGAGTAATATTGTACTTCGCTGCCAATGGAGGATGAAATTTAAGAAAATAAGAACAGTAACAAAAGAAAAATTAATCTCTTGTTAGTTCTGACCTGAAATCCAGAAAATAAAACTCTGTCCCTCTCCCTACCTTAATTTATTGCAGATATGTAACTCATATTCCTCACAGAAGTCAGCGAATATTACTAGAACTTCTATTTTTTTTTTTTTTTTTATTTTTTTTTTTTTTTTCCTAATATTGCGAACAAGCAATTGCCATTAAATATCTACGTTTTTCATTAATCATTGTCATCAGTTTTTCACATCTGCTTCTCCATCTATAGTAATCTATTTCTTGATTCCAAGTAAGATTATTTATTTTTTACTCTATAAATTCATTTACGCGATTTTCTTTTTAAGTTTTTATATAGGCCTTTTTCAAATCTATTATTATATTTCAAATCTATTACTATTTATTGCGTAGTTGAAATGCAGAAAAAATCTGAAATAACATTTGCATGTATATTTAAAAAAGGTTAAATCTGGTAAAGAGGTTAACTCTGTTCTCCAGATACTATAATTGCCACTTTATATGAATGTTCTTCATACATTTTCACAAATGTTACGGAATGAATAATTTGTTTCTACACGAAATGTTTACTTTATGAAAATCTTATTTTAGTAATTTTTAAAATTTTATTTTCATAATACATCGCAGAAAGCTATGATTCAGACGTACTTCCAGAAATTTAGAAAAAAATATGAATCCTGTTTTAATATATTTATGCTTATTCTACTATTGTGTGATTCAAGGAATATGAGATAATTTAAAATGTGATTAATGATATTTAATTTTCTTTTAGAATGTAGTGAATGTTCTTCCGTATCCTTATCAAACTAATTGCAAGAATTACACAGGACTGGAAGAGAGAAGGACGAAATCAAAACTGACTCAAGAGGTCAGAGATTAAAATTATATGTTCGCTTTTTAACAAAAATTGAACTATAGTAGGAAAAAAAATAAATGATAAATTTTATGCAATACTATTTAGCAATGATGCAATCCTCCATATACGTACTTAGTAATGATTCACGAACTTATACTGTCTCATAGTCAATTTAAATAAAAAGAATAGTATGTAAATATCTAATGATTAATATAAAACGCAGGTTTTAATAAGAGTTGCTTAATATTTAATTCGATTCGATACAGCATCACATTATGAGTATGTTTGTACCAAAATCTAAAACAGCAGAAATTGAAACATCTCCGGTCGGTTTCATTTTTCAACGAAATAAATTGTCTTCATGGGTTTTTTTCACTGTTTTTATTGTGTATAACATAAATGTTGTTCAGATTTAATGAATAACATTCAACGATAGGTAACCCTATATTAATTAAATTATTCTGCTCATATCAGTCGGTAGAAAAGACCAGATGGAAGAAACAAAAATACAAGGCTTCTAAAATAATAGCTTTTTTTATTTTGAATGCAATTCCTTAGTAAATCGTTATTTTTTCAGCATTTACTGATGATAACCGGAGTCATATTTAACAGATACTTCGGTTCAGAAAAAGATATTTTATATAATCTGCCCAGACATTATACTGAATTATAAGTTGTAATAATATAAGGTATTTTCTCCCTCCCCCCTCCTTCCGGATGAATTAACAATCCTGGATGAAATGTCGCTCAACTTTGATTTTCTTTATTTACAGGGCTGTATGTCAGAATGTTGTGCTAACCTGCATGTGAAATACTGCGATTGTACAGTACACAGACTATCTTTGATCTATGACATAAGAACCTGCTGGAAAAATGAAGAAGGTAACTACTGCTATTTTATTGTTAATTTCTAATTATTAAATTATATAATCTTATTATTTAATAATCTACTGGACTACGAATAGGAATCGCTACCAAAAGGGCGGATTTTTACAAGCAGTTTTCAAACTGCAAAAACATTCAAGTATGACAACTGTTTTCAAATGCGCCTTAAAAGATTTGTTTAAACCGAAAACATTCTGTTACGGAATATTAGATAAAATTTTTATCATCTCTTTTTTTTCAACTATAATTTAGGAATAATCAATTAAAAAAAAAGACTACCTCTTGCAATGAGACTGGATAATGAAAAAGGACCACTAAACTACGAACAGGTCAAGAATCACAAATGAATATTTTTAAAATTTTTCCAGAATGTATTAATAATTTTGATTATCATATTCATGGAATAAGGGGAATAGTTTAAATAGGCTAAAATCTTTAGAAACTTCAGCAGAAAAATGCATTTAATATTTTTGTCGCTTACTGAAAAGTCTTGGTTAAAAATATGACTCATAAATTCTAAAAATAATCTTTTTATTTATGCATCAGGCTATAACAATTAATAACTAATGTAAAGATAACATTAGAACTGTAACAAAAACGCGCTTCCTCAATGTGGATAATAATAGTATAACTGAACAAAAATACATATGCACGGGGGAGAAGCATAAATTACTTTAAAAAAATATTAAAAACTCAAATAAAACCACAGGTGTCATCGCCTCCAGGTATTATTCATATTCATGGAAAGCAGCAAAAGTAGAGCAAATAAAAGTGAGTCCTGCAAGATGCGCTTATGGAGGTCACAAAGCAATGGAGATAGAATTTTTCGTTCATCGAGTAAATTTTAATCGCGCCCAGCGGTAAGTCGGAAAGTTGCTACTGCTCTGTTTGAGAGAAGATCTGTACGCTATAAATTGTGTTCCATCAAGATTTTGAATTGTTCTTCTCAAATCTGTCTTTTAATTCCCGGAATTCTTAAATCGGGTTCAAGAATTTCCAACCGGACGTATTCCTGTTAGCTTAAAAATTGAGGAGCTGTATGTTTCAGTTTAAATTCATTAAATATAGTTTTTCAAATGCTAGACGTTTTCTGCAGAGATTTCTTGGAATGATTTACTTACAAAAATTAATGAATATAATCCTGAGGTAATTTAGAAATATTTCGTGTATTCTGTTAACATTGCAATATGTAAGCCTTCCTTTTCTATCAGATGAAGCAAAAGAGAATCTCACGAATGGATGTCTTAAATTTATTTCTTTATATCTTTTCTAGTAGTAGTTGAATAACAAGGCTTTAACAAATTCTGCCTCTTTTTTTTTTTTTTTTTTAGAATTCCCTAAAATATTACCAGTGAAAACCTAGACCTGTAGAAGATTTCGAACCAAAATTTACCTTCAAGATGTAGCTGACGAGAACATGATGACTTAATAAATTAGTTACACATTAAGTGCATTCAACATATTCAATAAATGATATTATCTTTTTGTAGTAAATTTATTCATTTATTAATAAGAAAATTAATTTTTTTTGAAAATATTTCAATAAAAAATAAATCTCACTCTCTTAAAGAAAGGAAATACTGTTCAAAATGTATTTGCTTTTCATTTGCCGTTGCTATCTTTTACCTTTCTATCAGCAAATTTCTGCTTCATTGTTTCATTTAAATTTTAACACAATTGACATCTGGTTCGAGTACCTGGGTTCGAGACGCTGCTCCTTGCAGAACATGAATTTGGGAGAATAAGCAAAGTAAGATATATAAAATGATAGCTACTATAACAATTACTGATAATAATACATAATTAGTCCAAAGAAATCAGCCTATAAGCGGTCAGGTCGTAAATTTACAACCCCTTTTTTTCACAGGGAGGGCTGAAAAGGAGGGGATAATCTTGCTCGCGGTCTTAAGAAAATGTGGGGGTCCTTTAAACATCGAACTTCTCTACGTTCAGTTTTTTTATACAGAGGAAAAAACAAATTGAATTCTTCGAATGAATGCAATTTTGTACAATGAAAATCTATTATTGAACGATAAACTGTAAGGCAAATAACATCTTTTTTTAAAGCCATAGGCGTAGAAAGACAGATATTTGTTACATCAATGAATTTGTAATAAATATTGAGTTTTTCATTTTGAATGCTATGTTCCATGTATGCGAAGTAGCTGAGTATCTGAGAAAATAGTCTTAACCCAAATGGCTTTCAACCTTTTCACGTCTAAGGACTGTTTTTAAATTACATTGTGGTCCCTGCTTTTTGGTTAACTTTCTAATGACATATAAACATTAAATTGTTTTTAATTTGAGACTTATGAATAAAATAACGCAAACTAGACTGCAGAAATTTCTTCAGAATGAAGTTAATACTGAAAAATATATTATTGATGCACTTTTTGGTTTTATATGTAATAGTTAGTATTGAATCCTTAAATTATATATATTTATGTATAAGTATATATAAATGGAACAAAATATAGAACAAGGTATAAAATATCAAAGAAAAATATCTTTAATATACAATGTTCATTAACATAAGTATATTTATGTAATATTAATGTAAATAGTTAGTTTGGTTTCGTACATATATAATTTATTTTTATATTTTGTATTATCTTCAGTACTGTATACGTATTTGAAGCTCAATTTTACTTGTTCTCCTTTTGGATTACGACTTTAAGTGAGAAGAAATTGTTAGGGCCTTCATAGGGATTAAATTATATACAATCAATTGAGATTTGATTTTTCCTTTCTTTTAATAATTATATATATAATATGCTATTTTATTAGTAAACATAAAATATAACAGTTTTTAAGCTACTTATTTATATATATATATATTTGGTTTTGTTTGTTTGATTATAACAAAGCTCTCAACGGCTATTTGCCTAAGGGTACGGATGCCTTGTATGGAGAACTTTCTAAGAAAAACTGTCTCGTATATGGAATTTGAACCCCAGATCATTCTATCAGTGTTCAACGACTTTACCGGTCAGCCGCTGGTGAGCGCCCCCCCACACACACATATACATTAAATTATATTTACATATCGTTTATAAAGTGTAAGTGAGTGCAATTTAATCATGAAGAGTTATAAAATATTCTACGGAATTATTTCGCTTCGCAGACCTTTTTGTAAGCTTCATTATATTTCCTAAAGAAAATCTCAGTGCTAATTCCATTTCCAAGCCGTTTATGTACCTTATTTTTTATTATATTTAGAGAATTATTTCACCTCATTATATCTGAATTCTCGGAATGGATAAATACAGTTCCTGTATATTTGCCAAAGGAATACTATACCATTCTTCCTGCAAAACGGTGGCAAGTTCAGATAACGATGTTGGTGGTGGATAACGAGAACGCACTTTCCGTCCCAATGTAGACCACAAAAGTTCGATAATATTCAGGTCTGGTGACTGTGGTAGCCAGGGGAGATGGGACAACTCATCCTCGTGCTCAGAAAACCAGTCCTGGACAATGTGAGCTGTGTAAACAGGGGCTTTGTCGTCTTGGAAGACACCATCACCATCGGGGAACAAAGTTTGTACCATGGGCTGAACTTGATCGGCCAAAATGTTCACATAAGTCTTGGCAGTCATGTGCCCTGACACAGTTATCATGGGGCTAGCAGAGAACCACGATATGGCTGCCCAAACCATAACAGAACCCCCGCCATGTTTCACTCTTGGCAACAAGCAGTCTGTATTATAGGCTTGAGATGGCGTTCTCCAGACGTAAACTCGGCCAGAAGTGGGAAACAATATGAAAAAAGACTCGTCAGACCATATTACTCGCTTCCACTGCTCTATAGTCCAGGCTTTATGACTTAAACACCACCTTTTCCTGTTACGGGCATTAGCATCACTGATGAGTGGCTTCTCAATTGCAGCACGGCCAGCAATTCTCTGTTTATGAAGCTCCCTTCTAATTGTTTTGGTACTCACAGGGTTCGGTAACACAACATTCATTTCAGCAGTAACTTTTGCAGCTGTGGTCTTCTTATTTTTCGTCACAATTGCCCTTAATGATCGTCTGTCACGATCACTCAGGACACACTTTCGTCCGCGCTGTGATTTAGCAGATGATGTTTTTCCGCTTTTCAAATATGCGGAATAAATCTTCGATACAGTACCTCTTAAAACACTGAACACTTCGGCTACCTTGCGTGCTCCAACAATTTGCCCACGTTCGAAGTCTGTTAACTCTGACATAATGCAATGACAACCTCACATAACAGTACTCCGACAACAACTGAACTGTTTAGCACATTTACGAAGTTGTATAGGTGGCGTCAGTAGTCAAAAACGCCAGCGCCACCTACATATTTCATTAAAATCAATCTTTCTTTTTAAACATGCATTTCACAAGGTGTTTGCATATTTTTGTCCATCCACTGTATTCGGCGCAAGCTCGCTAAATGTAAAACATGTTGTACATTATTGCTTGAATAGAAAATACATTATTGCTTGAAAGAAAGCTCGCCTTGTCACAAAAATATTCTGTTCATCGAGTTTAAAGGTTATTCAGACTAACGTGCGAAGTTCAGTGAGTAACATGTATTTCCCTTTGAATGTATAAATTAGCCCAAAAAAAGGGGGGAGCACTTGAAAATTAGATGCAAATTTAACAAATGGATTAAACGAACCCTCCTACAGCCTACCTGTTAAAAAATTTTATCAACTTTGTACTATTAAAATTTTTTGATCATTAAATAGATAAGTGAAAGTTCACTTACCTTCTAAATAGGGCTGCCCTGAACTGCCTGCTTTTCCTTCTTGTAGGTATCCGTCTCTATGATGAACTTCGATTCACTTCGAAACACAGCTATAAACTTTTTAAGAAAATTTAATTCGTATGAAAGATATCTACAAAATATTTACAAGTTATAATGATTACAAGTGTTACGAATTTGGTATTTAAAAAGCTAATGTTAGTTCAATTAGAAATTAAATGGTTTTATTTCTCGCGCAGTGCAGCGCGTGACGAATATTAAAAGA